CACAAGCATGTCTACAGCCCTCAATTTTTAACTATAATTCCCTAGAAACAATGGAAACTAATGTCTCTATTGATTGGGGTGAAGATACATACAAATACACCATTTCAGCTACAGATGCATATATTTTAGTTATAAAGTATTAAAAGCTAACTGATGCAAGACACAAGGCCAAAATTTGTCAAATTCCGTAATGATTAAGATAGGTCATTATAATGTACAGAAATTATGTCTGGAAGGCTTTCTCTTGTATATTAATATTTTACCAAACTCTTCAAACTAGAGGTTTTCTCCCCTCTTTTATTTAGTATAGAACTGCACTAATATACCAGCCAACAGCCAAATGTAGTTAGATTAATTACAATTAAACAAAGGTAAAATTAGGCTTATTGATCACAAGTAGCCCCATTCCAAGTGCTTGTTAGTCACGTGTGACTAGCAGTGGCCATATTACACAGCACAGAAGCAGAATATTTTCATCACTGCAGGAAGTACTGTTGGGCAGCACTGGCAGGAATTTTTAGAAGGAATAAAACATTCTAAGTGAATCTGATCTATATAATTTTACAGATTATTAAAGAAATGAGAGTTCTCCACTAAAAGTGGCTCATTTAGTTAAATCAGGAAATCGCCCCCTTTGCTACTTCAAAGACACTGAAATTCTAGAAAAAAAATTTTTTTCAATGTATATCCAAGTTCAAAGCCAAAAAGGGAAATCCCCAAGTGCCAGAAACATACAAGAAACTCAAAGTTAATAGCTGTGTGGAAGCTTCAGCCAAAGATTATAAGCGAAGGTATGTGCATCTGTTCTGAGTCAGGAACAAATTCTAGGCCACACAGAACATGCAATGAGCTGCCTACATAAAGCCTTACAGTAATAAGAGCCATGTGGTTTGTAAAACATAGCTAGGAAAACTCTATCTGCTGATACTGGGAGTCAGTAAGTTCCTGCCCAGGAGAGAAGAGAAAAAAGTCAGAAAAAGTGGATGCTCAAGTACTGGACCATTGCAACTGAACAAACAAAACAAAGTACCCCAAAAAACTTTGGAATAGAAATAATGTCTGTAACTTGGTGAAAGAGTGTCTACAAAAAGATTATACTAAAGAATGAAATTTTAAAAGCTTTCCCATGTACATCAGAAATAAGACAACACTACAATCATTCAGTATTATAACAAAGGTCCTAACCAAATGTAACAAGAAAAGTCATAAATATAAGGACTGGAAAGAGATGGGGAAAAGTCATGTGCAGAGGGTAGAATTGCCTATATAGAAAAGCCAAGATAATCTACAGAAACATCTATAGAACTAACAATAAATTTCAGCAGGGTTGCTGGTTATAAAAACAAAATACTAAAATCAAAAGTATTTCTATATGCTCAAAATAGTCAATTAGGAAATGTAACAAGTAACAAAACATAAACTATTTAAGAGTAACACTTTAAAAAATATTTTTATCAGCAACATCTTTATAGAGAAAATTACAAAATGTGAAAGGACATGAAAGTCAATCTGAGGAAAATGTGCTAAAACTGGTTTATGGTGATGTCTGCATAAATTTACTAAACATCGAAATAATTTTAAGATCCATGTGGAAAATCAAGTCCAAGAGTAGCCAAGACAACCCTAAAAGAAAACAAGGGTAACTTGTACTACCACACAGAGACGCATCTTTAAGCTATAATAATTTTGACACTATAGTTTCACCATAAGTACAAACAAACCAGTGAATCAAGTTGTCCGGAAACAGTTCTGATCACAAAGAAGAACTTGATATATGATAGAAGTCTCATTAAAACCAGTGAGGAAGACAAGTCCTATTCAGTCAAAGACATTACACATCTAATTTTCTAAAAAGAAAATAAAAGATTATGTCACATGCAAAAAAATTCCAAGTACATTAAGGACTTAGAGTATAAAAAACAATTAAAAGAAGATATAAAAGAACATCTTAAACACTCCCATATTATTGCTTTTTTTTTTTTTAGTGCAAAAGAACACAAATCATAAAGGAAAAGAATGCATACACTTCATCTCAAACAAAAACTTGTATATATGAAAAGATGAAGTAGCAGACTGAGAGAAGTGTGTTTATAACACACATAATCTACCAAGCAGAGAATTCAAAATACATAAAGACCTATAAAATCAATTAAGAAAAAGACAATCCATAAGAAAGAAAAACAAAGGATGAAACTGAAAAGAAAATCTAGACAATTAACATAAAACACCTTCTGCCTCATGCACTTACTATGATACACAAATTAAAACCACAATAACATATCAAGCATGCAAAGTTTAAAAACAAACAAATGATAGCAATGACATGCAGAAAAAAAGTATTGTATTTTGGAGAGGAATATGGAAACATATTGAAGAGGTATAAACTATGATCCATCCATTTGGCTTCTGTTATTTCTAGAAACTTTTGCACCTGGGCACCAAGGATTTACATATAAGGATGTAACAATCTGTATTAATAAAAATTTTAAACAATCTAAAATATCCATTAATGTAAATAGGTAAGTAATACTGAGTAGCTGAATAATATAGAACAGTTACATTCCATGCTGTTAAAAAAGCAACTTTTGGCATATGTAGTAAGAAAGTACTTATGAAAATTTCAAAAACACAAAGTAATACTACTTTTGTTCATAAATATGTAGTAAAAATATAAAATATAGCCTAATCAGATGTGCTAAAAATTAATGTCAATGGTTCCTTCTGAGGAGGGATCAGGCTGCTTCTGGAGAAAGAAATGGCACTGAAGCGAGCAACAAAGCAGATTGGACAGTAACTTTAAAAATTCATAGTCTTCTATTTAAATAAGTTTCAAAACATCAAACAAAAATAAAATATAGAGGTCTATTCACTCTGAGCTGGTGGGTATACAAGTATTCACTGTATCCACTGTAATTTAACATTTGAAACACATGCTAGATAAAAGTAACTACTACTTCACTTACAATGAAATCTGGAATGATGACTGTAAAGAAATTTCATCCCAGAGTCTCTCAGGAATTAGGAAATGATACTTCATTTTATAGAGAAAACTGGGACCCTATTTTTTTGTTTTCCAAGAAACCCAACCATGCGATCAGATTCCATGATTCCATGTTGACTGTAGGGCAAACAGTAGTTAAACCTGACTGTAGTCCCAAACAGGCTGCTCTGTCCATGGAATTCTCCAGGCAAGAATACTGAAGTGGGTAGACAGTCCCTTCTCCAGGGGATCTTCCCAAACTAGGGACAGAACCTGGGTCTCCTTCACGGCAGGCAGATTCTTCACCATCTGAGCCGTCAGGGTAGCCCATTTAATAATAAAGTGTGAATTGTCTGGAATGAGCAGTCAGACTTTGTCAGCAAAGTGCTGTCTCTGCTTTTTAATATGCTGTCTAGGTTGGTCATAGCTTTTCTTCCAAGGAGCAATGCTTGCTTCCAAGGAGCAAGCATTAAAAGACATTTCATGGCTAGAGTCATTATCTGCAGTGATTTTGGAACCCCCAAAAAATAAAGTCTGTCACTGTTTCCATTGTTGACTCATCTATTTGCCATGAAGTGATGGGACCTGATGCCAAGATCTTAGTTTTTTGAATGTTGAGTTTTAAGCCAGCTTTGTCACTCTGCTCTTTCACTTTCATCAAGAAGCCCTTTAGTTCCTTTTTCCTTTCTGCCATAAGGGTGGTGTCATCTGCATATCTGAGGTTATTGATATTTCTCCCGGCAATCTTGATTCTAGCTTGTGCTTCATCCAGCCCAGCATTTCGCATGATGTACTCTGCATATAAGTTAAATAAGCAGGGTGACAATATACAGCCTTGATGTACTCCTTTCCCAATTTGGAACCAGTCTGTCATTACATGTCCAGTTCTAACTGTTCCTTCCTGACCTGCATACAGATTTCTCAGAAGGCAGGTCAGGTGGTCTGGTATTCCCATCTCTTTCAGAATTTTCCACAGTTTGTTGTGATCTACACGTCAAAGGCTTTGATGTAATCTTTAAAGCAGAAGTAGAGGCTTTTATGTAATTCTTTTGCTTTTTTAATAATCCAACAGATGTTGGCAATTTGATCTTTGGTTCCTCCACCTTTTCTAAATCCAGCTTGAACATCTGGAAGTTTACAGTTCACATACCGTTGAAGCCTACCTTGGAGAATTTTGAGCATTACTTTACTAGCGTGTGAGATGAGTACATTTGTGCAGCAGTTTAAGCATTCTTTGGCATTGCCTGTCTTTGAGACTGGAATGAAAACTGACCTTTTCCAGTCGTGTGGCCACTGCTGAGTTTTCCAAATTTGCTGGCATATTGAGTGCAGCACTTTAACAGCATCATCTTTTAGGATCTGAAATAACTCATCTGGAATTCCATCACCTCCACTAGCTTTGTTCATGATTACTTTGCCAAGAAAGGCCCATCTAGTCAAAGTTATGGTTTTTCCAGTTATCATGTACAGATATGAGAGTTGGATCATAAAGAAAGCTGAGTGCCGAAGAATTGATGCTTTTGAACTGTGAAGTTGCAGAAGACTCTTGAGAGTCCCTTGGACTGCAAGGAGATCTAACCAGTCAATCCTAAAAGAAATCAACCCTGAATATTCACTGGAGGGACTGATACTGAAGCTAAGCCACCAATACTTTGACCACCTGATGCAAAGAACTGGCTCCATGGAAAAGACCCTGACGCTGGGAAAGATTGAAAGCAGGAGGAGAATGGGATGACATAGGATGAGATGGTTAGATGGCATCACCGACTCAATGGACATGAGTTTGAGCAAGCTCCAGGAGTTGGTGATGGACAGGGAAGCCTGGCGTGATGCAGTCTTCACGGTCACAAAGAGTCAGACACGACTGAGCGGCTGAACTGAGCAGTCAGACTAACTGAGTTCATTTCTGTCACAAAGTATACAAAGACTAAATAAAGAGTGTTGACCACATTTTAATAACTCATTCTATGCAGCTTTTGTCTTTATTCCATTTTCAAAGCTCTCAGCAGAGCACACATACCAATGGCGTGGTTCAGAATATATTCGTCTCGGAAAAAAACCTGAAGCATTTCCTGGTTTGTATTTCTAGCTTCTGAGACCGCTAAAATATGAGAAAAGAAAAAAAAAGGATTACAAATATAAAAAAGTGTTTTCCAGTCAATACAGTCAGATAAATTTAAAATACTGTGATAGAAAATACCAACGGGAAAGTCTAGAATGGTTTCTTAAGCTTCTGAAGTCACCCATGCCACAGACGTATTACAGTCAGCTCCAAATCCATAGTCCAATGTCAGAACTTCAAGGCAAAAATTCTTATTTAGAACAACTTACAAGGTGTTATAAATTATAAGTTATATATTGGTACCAAATGCATATAATTTTGACTATTTTCTATGGCACCTGAATAAACATTTGCTGGATACATGTTTTCTTTGGCAACATATCTCAACACAAATACATTATACAGGGAATTCCCTGAAAGTCCAGTGGTTAGGACCCCACACTTGCACTGCAAGGGGCACAGTCCCTGGTGGTGGAACTAAGATCCCACAAGCTATGCTGCACGGCCAAAAAAAAAAAAGAGTACATTATACGTGTACACACAAAGAAATAAATGCACACATAGAGTTCTGTATATTCTAACTAGTTAAATACTTCCTCCATATTCATTTCATGGAACATTTGTTGAGCATCTGCTAGGTACCATGTGCTATTTTCAGTGCTATTATAAGACAGCTGCCTGGAGTTCAGACTAGTAAAACAGACAATTAAAATATACTCCCTTTGCTATGCCCACTCTAAGGTTGGGATGCGATAGGAATGGAAGCAGAAGAGATATGATTAAAAGAAGGCTTTCCAGAAGAGAGACATCTGAGCCAAATGTGAACAATAGGTAAGGGTATCCTAGAAAATGATGGCAGTGGGAACTTGGGGGCTCTGAGTAGACAAAGGAGTACCTACAAAGGCAAACAGGCAAGAAAGAATAAAATCAAGAAATAAGTAAAGAAAAAGAAGTAGTTTTAAAAGACTAAAGGAGAATAGTAAAAGGTGAGGCTCGAGAGGTAAATGAGATAGTAATATTCTTATTATATTTTCATGGATATTAATAAATAAGGATGCTAAAATCAAATGGTTTCATTTCTGTTGCAATTTTCTATTATCCAGTGTTCACATCCACTACACTCTCACTAGAGTCAATGTCAAAACTGCCATCAAAACTCTCTTCCACATACTACCAAGTGCATATGCTTTTCCTGTCTTTAAGTCCTATGAAAATTACCTGCTGCTGCTGCTAAGTTGCTTCAGTCATGTCTGACTCTGTGCGACCCCACAGATGGCAGCCCACCAGGCTCCTCTGTTCCTGGGACCCTCCAGGCAAGAACACTGGAGTGGGTTGCCATTTCCTTCTCCAATGCATGCATGCATGCTAAGTCGCTTCAGTCATGTCTGACTCTCTGCGACCCTATGGACAGCAGCCCATCAGGCTCTTCTGTCCACAGGATTCTCTAGGCAAGAATACTGGAGTAGGTTGCCATTTTCTTCTCCATGAAAATTACCTACTAAAATATAAACTAAATATATATACATGTTTCTTCCTTTATGGGAAAGAGCTACATAAAAATTGGTGACTATTAGATTTTTAGACAAACTTCAGAACTGATACAGCTTCCTTCAAAATGTTCCAACCAAATAGTGACTTCTTTTCCTGTTTTTTGTTTTGTTTTGTTTTTTTAAATGATTGGGAACTCCCTGGTGGTTCAGTGATTAGGAGTCAGAGTTCACTGTCATGGCCCAGGTCCAACCCCTGGTGAGAGAACTACCCACAGGCCATGCAGTGCAGCCAAATTAATTACTTACTTAATCATTAAAAGTGAAATTAAAAAGATAAAAATTTTTTAAAAGGTTTGATATTGAGCCTCATTCTGACGCTTTCACTGATAAAATCCCTAAAACTCTTACCTATTATCTTTTTTCATTTCTCACCAATTCTATTTTTTTTTTTAATTTATTTTTTTTTATCACAACCATAGTGTATCTTTTTTTTTTTTTTTACATGTATTCCCCATCCCGGTCCCCCCTCCCACCTCCCTCTCCACCCAATCCCTCTGGGTCTTCCCAGTGCACCAGGCCCGAGCACTTGTCTCATGCACCCAACATGGGCTGGTGAACTGTTTCACCCTAGATAATATACGTGTTTCAATGCTGTTCTCTTGAAACATCCCACCCTCGCCTTCTCCCAGAGTCCACAAGTCTGTTCTATACATAGGAGTCTCTTTTTCTGTTTTGCACATAGGGTTATCGTTACCATCTTTCTAAATTCCATATATATGTGTTAGTATACTGTAATGGTCTTTATCTTTCTGGCTTACTTCGCTCTGTATAATGGGCTCCAGTTTCATCCATCTCATTAGAACTGATTCAAATGAATTCTTTTTAATGGCTGAGTAATATTCCATGGTGTATATGTACCACAGCTTCCTCATCCATTCGTCTGCTGATGGGCATCTAGGTTGCTTCCATGTCCTGGCTATTATAAACAGTGCTGCGATGAACATTGGGGTGCACGTGTCTCTTTCAGATCTGGTTTCCTCGGTGTGTATGCCCAGAAGTGGGATTGCTGGGTCATATGGCAGTTCTATTTCCAGCTTTTTAAGAAATCTCCACACTGTTTTCCATAGTGGCTGTACTAATTTGCATTCCCACCAACAGTGTAAGAGGGTTCCCTTTTCTCCACACCCTCTCCAGCATTTATTGCTTGTAGACTTTTGGATAGCAGCCATCCTGACTGGTGTGTAATGGTACCTCATTGTGGTTTTGATTTGCATTTCTCTGATAATGAGTGATGTTGAGCATCTTTTCATGTGTTTGTTAGCCATCTGTATGTCTTCCTTGGAGAAATGTCTGTTCAGTTCTTTGGCCCATTTTTTGATTGGGTCATTTATTTTTCTGGCATTTCTCACCAATTCTAAAAGAAAAGGAGTGCAAATTGTATTGCTGGTGAAATAAATCTCTTTTACCTCAGAAATCCTCTGAGGCTGCCTTCTAATCTTAATCTAATCAATTATTAACAGTTCCATATAAATTAAATGACATTTTAGTAATATCATTTATTTATTTTTTTTTTTTCTGAACTGTAAGATTTAATCAGTATTCTGTGCTGGATAAAAACTCATTGCATATTTTTTTCAGAGTGCTCACTTACTGTCTTGGACTATAATGTTTAAAGAAACTACATTTCTTGGCATTGAAATCTGTTACTTAATACATGTAAGTGAGAATAATTCTAGAATTTGTAAATGTATTTCCAAACAGCAATATAAAGTTAAAACTCATGGGCAAAAATAGAAGATGCTAAAATCAACACTCTGCTCATTTGTAAACTGACAGGCTCAAAGGCCCAACTCTAGAGCAAAAGTTAATTCAAGGCTGAAAAACAGTGTTTTAAAAATACTTCAGTTGTAGGCAAAACAATAAATTCAAAACCAATTCAGTTAACAAGTCAGTCTAGGACTTCTCTGATGGCTGAGACAGTAAAGAATCTGCTTACCATGTAGGAGAGACCTGGGTTCTCTCCCAGGGTCAGGAAGATCCCCTGGAGAAGGAAATGGCTACCCACTCCAGTATTCTTGCCTGGAGAATTCTACAGACAGAGGAGCTTGGTGGGCTACAGTCCTTAGGATCACAAAGAGTCATACATGACTGAGCAACTCACACTTTCACTATGCAAAGGAAATCAGTTTGATCTCTGGTCTGAGAAGATCCCATATGCGGTGGGACAACTAAGCCAGTGTGCCGCAACTACAGAGGCGGTGCTCCAGAGCCCAAGAACCACAGTTTCTGAGCCCATGTGCAGCAACTACTGAAGCCCGCATGCCCTAGCGCTCATGCTCTGCAACAAGAGAAGCCACCGCAAGAAGCAGCCCCAGCGCCACAATTGGAGAGCAGCCCCTGCTCACGGCAACTAGAGAAAGCCCACAGCAACAAAGACCCAGCACAGCCAAAACTGAATTTTTTTAAAACAGACTAAGCAGCTGAAAATTTTAAAGTGAGGTTTTAAGATTTAGTTCCTTTAATAGATATTTGAAATTATGTCCTGAATCGAGCTTGTTTCTTTCTATTCCAAATGTAATGGTTTACATAAAACAATAAATTTGGTAAACAGAATAACCTTAACATCATCTTAACACAATACAAAAAAAAAATTCAAATATAAAAAACAAAACACTAAAAAAAAAAAAAAAAAATCCCAGGAGCCTACAGAATCAACATTTCTTCTCTCTTGTCTTTAATTGTTAAATGTGTACAGATTGACCTAAATAATTAGCAAGATAAAGAAAATTAACCTTTTTGTCTACCTCAACATGTGTATTTAAACATAAAAACATTGATAATATAAATAGGATAAATACTATAATTAAGTGCATCCTTGCTTTGGGATCATGAACAGTGGGAAAGCACAAAATCATAGATATATATAAGAGTATGTTATATCTGGAGAATGGCAAGTACTCAACATAGCCAGATTGTCAGGCCTATGAGTGTTTAGGGAGAGGAAGCTGAGTTACAACCAGGAAGCATTTCTGGTAAACTGCCTAAAGAAAGGGCTTCCCAGGTGGCTCAGTGGTAAAGAATCTGCCTTTCAATGCAGGAGATGTGGGTTCAGTCCCTGGGTTGGGAAGATCCCCTGGAGGAGGGCACAGCAATCCAATCCAGTGTTCTTGCCTGGAGAATCCCATGGACAGAGGAGCCTGGTGAGCTACAGTCCACGGGGTCACAAAGAGTCAGACACGACTGAGCAACGGAGCACGCACGCGTGCATGCCTATGATAAACTGAGCTGCTTAATCAGAGCCATTCAAAAATAAAAAGTGAAAAAAAATAAAAATAAAAATAAAAAAAATAAAAAGTGAATTCAAAAATAAAAAGATGATTCAGGGGAAATAAAGTATTTAGGTGAAAGGGAGAAATGTTTTTACCTCTGATATCACCTCCAGCACAGAAAGCCTTTTCACCAACTCCCTTTATGATGATCAGGAAAGTTTCTGGATCTTGTTCCCACTTCTAGTCAAATGTAAAAGATGGTATAAGCATATTATAAACACAAACTCATGACCTGTGGCTGATTCACGTTGAGGTTTGACAGAAAACAAAAAATTCTGTAAAGCAATTATCCTTCAATAAAAAAAAATTTTTTAAATGAATGATATATATCCATATACACATAAACACATGTGTATATATAGACATATATGAATATATACAAAGCATAAGCTTAATAAAGCATATCCAGAATAATGGATTCTAATTTCATTTTTTTTTCTGACATAAATTAGAGGCTATTCCAAAGTTGCTAAATGAGTACATTTTGTGATCCATATTTGATAATGACAATTTTGATACCAAGGTGAAAAAAACATGGGCCTAATAATATGTTACATAAGCTTATAAATCTGATAAGCAAATCAGCCCAGAGATTGCAGATAAACAGCAGTAATCTTTCTACTGTGGTGATAAAGGCTCTGTCCTACAGACAAATTTGTAAATAACAGAGTGGAAACACTTCTCCTGATCAAATCTGGAAGTGTTTTGGGGTTGGTAAGGACAGCTAATAAATAAGCAGGATGAAAGAATCAAGAGCCAGTGAATACTGAAAAGGCCAGAACAATGGACTAAATAAAAAATTAGTTTACCAGAGTCAGAAGAATTAACCGGGGTTCCATGAATTCTACATTAGAGAATGAAAATATACAAGATAAAGAAGAGACGTACCTGGGAAGAGGTGGTTGTCCAACAGGTTAATGCAATACTGGATCACATTAATAGAAATATGGTATTCTAACATGGAAGTTTCTACTTTTCTTCCACTTTAACCTGGAACACCTGATTTGTTCCTCTATATCACAGTTAAGTACATATTATAAGGTGGCCCAAACAGATAAAGAAGAATGGAAGAGACTCATCAAATGAAGAATTAACGAACTGGTGAGCAGGGGAGAACTCATCTTTAACCCCTATGTGGCCAAGTGTATCAGGTATACTATTTCACTTCATCTTTACAATAATTCTATGACTTACCATCCCTGTTTCACAGCTGAGGAAAATGGAACACAGAGAGAATAATATTCCCAATCTATACAGTTAATAAATAGAAATTCAAAATTTCAAACCCAGGTAGTGTGACTAAGTCATGTTTTTCCACTACACCATGCAGTTTTCTTAGAATAGGAAAGCTTAAGGCCTTCTCCAAGAAAAGGCTGGACAAGCACTTCAAAAACTGTCATCTTCCCACCAAAAAAGCTGTCATGTAGAAGCAGACTATATGTGTATACTCATGACCCAAGAGGCAGAACCAATATTACTGGTCAAAAGGTTGGAAAAATGAAGAGCGGCAGAATGTAAGAAGAAACTTGTGTGTGCTTAGTCACTCAGTCGTGTCTCTTTGTGACCCCATGGACTGTAGCCCACCAGGCTCCTCTGTCCATGGGGATGCTCCAGGCAAGAATACTGGAGTGGGTTGCCATGCCCTCCTCCAGGGGATCTTCCCAGCCCAGGGATAAAACCCAGGTCTCCCGCACTGCAGGCAGATTCTTCACTGTCTGAGCCACCAGAATTGGAGCCATGTAAGTGGAAGAGAATGTCGTGTGCAGCAATGAACTCTCATCACTAGGGGTGTGCCAGAACAATCACTAAGGCAAGAACTGAGGACTCCAGAAACACTGCGGCTTGGGCACTGCGCCCAGACACGCAAGTGATTCGGTGCAAGAAAACACTAGGAAAGTTCTATAAAGACACACTTTCAAAAGGATCCATATGACTGCTTGAAGAAAATGACAAACCTTTAGCTGTGCGTAAATCTGCTGAACCATATTAAGAGTCAGTGTATTCAGAAACCTTGGTCTGTTTAGTGTTATCACTCCTGCACAGCCTTTTCTTTCCAACAGGACTTCTGCTGCTGCATCTCTGTGATGAGACATTTTCTGTGTAAACAAAAGAACTTTAGGATAAAATTTATTAAGCTTTTGTCACACGTCAACATCAAAACACACATTAAATGCAAATCTTTTTTTTTAATGCAAATCTTTTACACAACGTTAAGAGCAGCTAATCAAACGGACAACTTGGTACATCTGACAAAGTGTCCTAAAATTATTTACACAGTGTAGATAAGCAGTTCCAAAGCAAACGACATATACCTCTTAAATCTCTTAATTTTTATTTGAGTAAACTTAGTGAATTGATTAGAACCCAGTCCTACAATTTCTTAGACTATGAAATACTCTTAACCCTTTTTACTGTATACCAAGCAATATGTTAGGTACTTGGAAATCAAAGATGAATATAGAGGGCAAGTAATTCTGACTACAGTAGCTAACAACAACTTGGAAAAAAGAAAAAACAATGATATTTGAGCTGGACCTTGATGTACCCTAAGAAAAAAAAGAGGTGAAAATCCTGGAGAGTAGCACATGCTAACACATGAACAATGATTATCTGGAAATATTAAGTTGTTAAACAGGGGTGGAATAAAGGCTGACTGAAAAAATGACAGGAAAGTAGGCAGAAAAAGTGCTTTAAGGCCAGATAATAAAATGAGATTACAAGATCATATACAGAAGTAGTAAAAAACATGCCTATACAGAAGGTCGGAGGGCCTCACCCAGGCTTCCCAGGCAGTTCAGTGGTAAAGAATCCATCTGCCAACACAGGAGACTCGGGTTCGATCCCTGGATTGGGGACAATCCCCTGGAGGAGGAAATGGCAACCCACTCCAGTATTCTTGCCTGGGAAATCCCATGGACAGAGGGGCCTGGTGGGCTATATATAGTCCATGGGGTCATAAAGAGTCAGGCACGACCGAGCGACTAAACAAGAAGGGCCTCACACACCACGCTGAGTGAGGCAAGTGGCACATTCTGGGGTGGCGCATTTTGCTCCCCTTCAATACTCACTGGTTCTGCTTCCTTGATTAAACCCTTACTCGGACAAAAAAACAGATGACAGACCAAAAGAGTTGCAGTTTTCAGATACCTACGTCATTCTAAATTTTAAAGTAATACAGATGAAAGTTTTCCTATTATACAACATGCTACATACAAGTATTAATAAATTTTCATCTCTCCACACTAAATTTCTTTTTTACTTAAACCAAGTCAGATTTGTCAGTCCAAAAAAGAAAAGTTTCACTGAACAACAACATAAATTACCACCTAATATCAGAGACAATCTTAAGACTACTATTTGGTTTTAGCTCAGAGATGTTGAGACTGAAAAGATGCACTTTCTGACCTTCTAACAAGAAAAAAGGGGGAAGAGACTGCAAATTAATGGCTTTTGATGAACTCAATCAGATACAGGAGGTCAGAGGGCAAACAGTCCCATAATAAAGTCTGGAGAGAGAGGTGTCTTCAGGGAGGTGTGCTGCTGCCAAGTTGCTCCAGTCATGGCCGACTCTGTGCGACCCTATAGACGGCAGCCCACCAGGCTCTGCCGTCCCTGAGATTCTCCAGGCAAGAACACTGGAGTGGGTTGCCATTTCCTTCTCCAGTGCATGGAAGTGAGAAGTGAAAGTGAAGTCACTCAGTCGTGTCTGACTCTTCGCAACCCCATGAACTGCAGCCTACTAGGCTCCTCGGCCCATGGGAGTTTCCAGGCAAGAGTACTGGAGTGGGGTGCCACTGCCTTCTCCGTCAAGGAGGTGTAGGACCAGTATATTTGCTTACCTCAGGCAGAAGCCCTAAGGAAGATTAACTAGAATATTTAATGACTTGCTAGAGGTCAAGTCACCAACTCAAGGGACATGAGTTTGAGCAAGCTCCAGGAGCTGGTGAAGGACAGGGAACCCCGGCATGCTGCAGTCCATGGGGTTGCAAAGAGTTGGATACGACTGAGCAACTGAACTGAACTGAGAGGTCAAGTGTGGGCAAATTGATAGTATGAAGTTCCTGGGGGGTTGGCGGGGGGGAGTGGTCACATTCATGGGGGAGCTCCTACTCTTGCTGGCTCTTCCTCCTGGAAACCAATCAGGTTCTCCCAGGGAAGACTGGAGAAAGCTCCCCCGTGTGGGGGTGGCTAGGGGAGGGAAACATCAGGCACAGCGAAATCCCTTCCCCTCATCTTCCAAACAGAGCAAAAGGCTAACTCTGCAGGGGAGAGAGGAAGGCTTCAAAACCAGGTTCTAGGGGAGCGCTTCCACAGTGGGGAAATAGGATAGAGGTTTACAATATAAGAACCTTAATCCCAAGGGAGAAGCGTTGCAAAACCACAGCCTACTGATCTTAGTGTTTACCACCCAGAGTTGGAGAAAAGGAACAGGAGTCAAAGGAAAAGTGGGGGAAAGGCAACCCATCCCCAGAAAAGGGACAGGAGCACTTATAAGGACCACACCCTTGGTCTGTGACTCACAGTGCCTTCCAAACATTAAGGATTAATGGGCTACAACATTAAAAGCATGATGCACAAAAGAATATACTGATAAAAAGATACTTCACAAAGTACTGGAGTTTCAGCTTCAGCATCAGTCCTTCCAATGAATATTCAGGACTGATTTCCTTTAAGATGGACTGGCTGGACCTCCTTGCTGTCCAAGGGACTCTAAAGAGTCTTCTCCAACTTCACAGTTCAAAAGCATCAATTCTTCGGTGCTCAGCTTTCTTTATAGTCCAACTCTCACATCCATACATGACTTCTGGAAAAACCATACCTTTGACTAGACGGACCTTTGTCGGCCAAGTAATGTCTCTGCTTTAATATGCTGCTAGGTTGGTCATAGCTTTTCTTCCAAGGAGCGAGTGTCTTTTAATTTCATGGATGCAATCATTATCTGCACTGATTTTGAAGCCCAGAAAACTAGTCTGTCACTGTTTCCACTTTTTCCCCATCTATTTGCCATGAAGTGATGGGACCAGATGCCATGGTCTTAGTTTTTTGAATGTTGAGTTTTAAGCCAGCTTTTTCACTCTCTTTCACCTTCATCAAGAGGCTCTTTAGTTCCTCTTCACTTTCTGCCATAAGGGTAGTGTCATCTGCATCTCTGAGATTGATATTTCTCCTAGCAATCTTGATTCCAGCTTGTGCTTCATCCAGCCCAGAATTTTCCATGATTTACCCTGTATATAAGTTAAATAAGCAGGGTGACAATATACAGCCTTGATGTACTCCTTTCCCAATTTGGAACCAGTCTGTTCCATGGGGACTGGAACCCCATGTCCAGTTCTAACTGTTGCTTCTTGACTTGCATACAGGTTTCTCAGGAGGCAGGTCAGGTGGTCTGGTATTCCCATCTCTTTCAGAATTTTTCACAGTTTGTTATGATCCACACAGTCAAAGGCTTCGGCATAGTCAATAAAGCAAAGGAGATGTTTTTCTGGAATTCTCTTGCATTTTCAATGATCCAGCGGATGTTGGCAATTTGACCGCTGGTTCCTCTGCCTTTTCTAAATCTAGCTTGAATATCTGGAAGTTCATGGTTAACATACTGTTGAAGACTACCTTGGAGAATTTTGAGCATTACTTTACTAGTATGTGAAGTGAGTACAACTGTGTGGTAGTTTGAACATTCTTTGGCATTGCCTTTCTTTGGGACTGGAATGAAAACTGACCTTTTCCAGTCCTGTGGCCCCTGCTGGGTTTTCCAAATTTGCTGGCATATTGAGTGCAGCACTTTCACAGCATCATCTTTTAGGATTTGAAAGCACTAACTGGAATTCCATACCTCCACGAGCTTTGTTTGTAGTGATGCTTTCTAAGGCCCACTTGACTTCGCATTCCAGGATGTCTGGCTCTAGGTGAGTGATCACACCATCATGGTTGTCTGAGTCATTAAGATCTTTTTTGTATAGTTCTTCTGTTTATTCTTGCCACCTCTTTTTAATATTTTCTGCTTCTATTAGGTCCCTACCATTCCTGGGAAAGACTAGAGATCTCTTCAAGAAAATTAGAGATACCAAGGGAACATTTCTTGCAAAGCTGGTTAGGGAACTAGATACTAAATGCTGCAACTAAGAGTTCACAAGCTGCAACTAAAAATCTGGCATGCCACAATGAACATCAAAGATCCTGTGTACCACAACTAAGACCCCATGCAGCCAAATAAAAATGGAATAAATATTTTTTTAAAAAATCAGTGGGAGAGATGAGATGATCTCACCCACAGAAGAATTTAAATAATTTATGGAAATCCCCCTTCCAGAAGGTGAAGTGTAGTCCCCCTCACCCTGAACTTACTGACATGCTTCCAAAACACAGAGTAGAAAAGGGAAAAAAACGGTAACTTCAGAGAGCAGTGAAAGTCGCTCAGTTGTGTCCGACTCTTTGTGATCCCATGGACTACACAGTCCATGGAATTCTCCAGGCTACAATACTGGAGGGGGTAGCCTTTCCCTTCTCCAGAGGATGTTCCCAACCCAGGGATCAAACCCAGGTCTTCCACATTGCAGGCGGATTCTTTACCAGCTGAGCTACTGACAAATCCCCACCTTAACTACATGATAACGGTCAGCATCACCAGCTGTCATGAGGATGTCCTGTACTCCCTGAGGCATATGTCAAAACCCTCACATAGTCCCTGATATGTGATGAGAAAGGGGTTTTCCTTTGTAATATTCTTTCCAAAAACTTTTAACTGCAGTCTAGTCACTAAAAAACAAACAGAAACAACAGATGCAAGCCGAGATTAGAGACTATTCTACAGGCGACCTGACAGTGCTCCTCCTAGCTGCCATGGTCATGAAAAATAAGGAAAGACTGATAAAGTACACAAACTGGAAGACTAAGAAAACACGACAAAGAAAAGCCAGGTGATATCCTGGACTGGATTCTGGAAAAGAAAATTAACGGAAAAACTTGTGACATCTAAACAAAGTCCAAAATTAATACTAATACTCATATTGCAATGTTCTTAATTTTGACAAGTGTAACACGGTAACTGTATTCCTTTGCTAGGGCTGTTGTAACAAAGCCCCACAGACTAAGTCTAGGC